GAGTGAGTCAAAGCTTCATTAGAATTTTCACTCCAAACTCCTCCAAGTCATGTTGTTTGGTCTTCTTCATCATTGCTTCATGGCCATTGAAGTTTGGCATTCCTCCGAGCCTTGTGGATGCTTTCGGTTTCCCCTTTGCTTATCATCATTTTGCTCACACATGTAACAAAAGAAAGGAAATGGTTAGAAAACAATTCATATTTGAACAAAAACAAGAAACTTTCAAAGAGTTTTGTTCACAATTTCATCATTAGGGATTTGTGAGAGGAATCCGAAATAAGGGGGTTGCATTTAATCATATTCACCAGTAACAATCAAAAGTCTCATATTGCTTTGTTTCAAAAAAGTCAGAACTACAATATCAATCATGGGCCTAGTCCTTTACTACAAATCTCAAACAAATGCATAAAAAAGGACTTGTTTGGTTCACAGTAAAAGTAAATACTCAAAAAGTAATTTACTGCACAAGTAAAACTCAATGAAAGGGCTTTACAATCATCACAGTAAGTAAAAAGACCGTAAAAAGAGTTTCATGTCTCACCTCAACAAAAAGTTACTGAAAAGGATAGTACAAAAAATCAAAATCAACAAGTGCAAACAGAATCACAACTTCAGCCCAACAACAAGAAGTTCACGTTTCAGCCCAAACCAGCAAAACATCTCAGAAAATATAAGCAAAATAAAAAGTCAAAGGCCCAAAAACGAAAAGCAATTTCTCAAGGCCTGTTATCACAAATCAAGTTCAACAGAAAATCCTAATTTTCAATACAAAAACATTCATTGCACAGTTATCGGGAGGATATAGTTCACAATACAGCAGCTGCGCAACAGCAACAACAAAAACCCAAAAAAATTCATCACCTCCTTGATCTCAATTGTTCAGAGAGAAAGAAAAATAATTGTTCAAAACCACAATACAGAAGCTGCGCAGTAGGTCAAACCACAAACCCTAAATTTATTATCATCATTTTCCCTAACACTAAACCTCCAGAAACTTGAGAAAGACGAAGAGGAAGAGAGTATAGAAGAGATATAGAGCGGTCTCACCCGAAAAGCAACGAAGGAATCGCAAATCCGAGCGCTAGGGTTTCCAAAACTCCCCTTTAAGATCTACTCGATTTCGCTCACCATCTACAAAATCAATACCAGAATAGCAAAGAGGAGAACAAGACGAAGTTATTGATGTAAAAAATTCAGAGATCGGAGCAAGATTGCAGGTCACCGTCATTAGTTTATATTGTTTGTACTATTTTGTTTAGTTATTATCTTTATCAATTAAAAATATAAAAAATAATTTTAATAAAAAAATATAGATTTAGATTTGATTAATTAATTTAACTTTCATAAATAAAAATTAATTTAACTTAATCACTTTGTTTTATTTAATTTATAAAATAATTAGAATTAAATTTTATTTTACACTAAAGAAATATTTTATTTTTCTAAATAAGACACCAAAAATATTTTTTAAATACTTAGAATTTTTCTTAGTGTTTTAAATTTCTTTCCCTTTTTACCACCTTCGCGCATTTTACTTTCGCATTAATATTTTTCATTATTATAACTGTTCAATGGTTTGTAATAAATAATTAGGATTTTTATGCTTTTCATCCCCATTCATAAATTTGTACCCCCTATTCCCAAAGCGTTGTAATAGCGTAGGATATTTAATTTTCGCAATTTACCATTTTCCTTATTACTGTTAGTCTAATAGGATTGTATGGCAAGATTTAAAATCAATCATTAGAAAACCTAATTTCAAGACAAAAATAAACTGAAATCAAAACACTTCGCACACATGCACATCTAGGGTTAACCTCACTTGTTGCCTCAGATATAAACAGTCATGTCCCTCGAACGTGAGATGCTTTAGCAAAGACCATCAATTAAAAGATCATAGCCCATCGATGACCCTTCGATGTTGCCTTCAGTAAACGATCTTAGTCCCTTACGGCAATTGTTAAAGCATCTTACAAGTTATCTTTTATGACTGTATGACGATTCACGCTTGTCCCTCACATCCAATGATATAGCTCTCTACTAACTAATGGTAGGTTAGCACTATCTAAATGAGGAGGAAAAGAACAAAGGCTTTTTGAGTAGGTAGATCGCTCGTAATCGCTTGCTCACAAACTAAAATAATTTTTTCACACCTTACACTTTCAAAACAACTACTTTCAAAACGCTTTATAAACACTCTTGAGGACTAATACAAGGGTTATTATAAAGCAAACTGCCTTCCTTACATTGGCATTTTCAAAACATATTTCCAAAACAAATACTTTCCTTCCACTAAATATTTTCAAAACAAACATTTTGTATACATTCTCAACGATACGAGAATCATTACAAAATTGTCGCACTTAGGCATTTTCAAAATATTTTCAAACATACACAGAGCATTTCAAAGTGAGCTAACAATTAAGAACTCGTAGATAACTACGAATGAAAAGGGTGCTAACATCTTCCCTTTTCATAACCTACCCTCGAACTCAAGAAAATTCTCAAAGGTCTTTCATGTTCTTTTCACCATTTCCTTTATTGGATAAAAGAAAAGTCGGTGGCGACTCTTATTATTCGCAACATTTGCGATAAAATACAAAACACTAAAGTCAGTTCTTCCACTGTATTACAATACCCTAGTGATATGTTTATAATGTATAATAAATAAAATCATAATTCTCACTCTCAATTATCTCTCTCTAATTCTCCTCTCTCACACTCTCTCTTTCTCCTTATTTATCAATCTTGTGATTATAGATTTTAACCGTTTGTACGGATTCTGTGATCTAAACATGCACTTATAACAGTTATTTTTTTAGCCCATCCAAGCTTTTACTCTATTGAGTGTCTGCTCCAACTCCAACAAATAATAGGTACTAATACGTGAGATATTTAATTCAACGTACCATAAAATTTTAAATTTTCGTGATAATAGGTATTATGTTAATATTAATTCAATATACCTAGTCATTCCCATAAATCCCGTCTTGTCTATTAATTCAATTTTCATTTTTATCTGAGGCATCTATGCCTCTATTGTGCATTAAACCTTTTTGACAATTGTTTGTGTGGCTAATATTATTCCAATTCGTCAAAACCTAACCGAAAAATATATGACCCACTGGAAGGTTCAAAATTCTCCAACACATCAGTAATGACTAGCAGGAACATATGCAGAGACAAAGGCACCGTTACAACGATTATGATCTCCATCTATAAAAGCTATATTCTTTAGAGGTTCATTGCCAAATATAAATGTGCAAGTATATACGAGTATTAATGGCGTCACTGCAAAAGTACACTATTAAACGTGTGACTGAAGCAGCAAGGCGACAAATACAATATAGTAAAAATTCAGCTAGTTTGCATAAAATTAGAAAATATTTCACGACTACATGTGGTAGGGTTTCGTAATTCATTGACATTATCTTCTACATTGAATATCAAATTGCAACTAGTTCCTATGATTAAGGATGATGATAATGATAATAAAATCAAATCACATTATTAGGCTGAAAACAAGGACAGAAAACCATGTCCCCAAATGAATGGTACCAGACACTAACTGTCTACTAATAACGACAACTAAATGGGTGGGTCCATTAATAATTGCAAGAAGAAAAGATAAAACAGAGCAAATTCCTGTTCTAAATTGAGACAAACTAGATAATGTGAAACCAAGAATTTTATTCCAAAATGATTCTTCTATGATCTGTTTTATGGCATCCTGAGTCAACATACGTCAGTACTTAGAAAACAACCTGATATCACATGTCATATCAATTAAAATTTGGTACAACATAATGCATTATATGATCTTCCATTACAAATAACAAACAAAAAGTTTATGGACAACAAATTATTGTCACAAATAATGAGTCTTTTGATATTCCATCTGTTTTTTCTAAGAAAAAAACAAAAGCACAAAATCAAATGTGTTTGGTTTAAATTCAAATCAAATATACTTGACATTTTTTCTATCTATGAGAAGATTTACCTCTCGCCCTAGTTTTTTCTCCCGCCAACTTGGGAATGGTACACAATTCACATTGCGCGCGTTAGTTTTGTCTCTCGCCAACTCGTGTATAGTGTACACAACTCACATTACGTGCACTAAGGAACACCCAACTATAATTGCGTTGACTTGAATCTATGACTTGTTGCTTCACTAGTAATACCACAATTATATGATGATGACACATAAGAAAAACAATCATTTCTCATGAATGATAAGACAAACTTACAAGAAATTATGATGTTGAGACATAAGATAAACAATCATTTCTCATAAATGATAAGACAAACTTACAAGAAATGTTGACAATCTAATATATTGAATGAGAGCGCGCACTTATGTTCAAACACAAGAATGTGACGATCTAACAACAAAGATTAAAACATAATTCACTCATAGTTTTTCTCTTTCAAATTGAAAAAATCCATCTCGCACATTAGTTTTGTTTCCCACCAACACGCCAACTTGTGCACAGTACACAAGCTCACGCTCATATACTAAAAAAAAAACCAACTACGAGCGCGTTGATTGTATCTATAACTAATCAAACATAAATGTCAATATTTGTCACGAATAACACCAACCTCAACCTCGCAAATTGCGAAGACATATAGTCAATCTATGCGATTAGTTGAAGTCTTTTGTAAGCCTTTGATACGACATTCAAGAGAAACTTACATTTTGAGACAGAGACAAGAGTAACATTTGTCTTTGATTGTGCAATACTAATGGAAGTAAACAGAAACTGGAAACTGAATCATATCATCAAACACCTATTAATAACATAAATTTTCACAGCCAAAAAAAAAAAAACATATATCTCATAATTTCCCAATTAAAAAAAAAACATTATCCTCACAATTGCAAGCAACTTCAATCCAAATTCCAAACCAAGATTTTCAAACTCTCTAGATACAATTTCTACATGACATTCCACCTCTCCAATCAACCAAATAAAAAAAATAAAAAATAAAAAATAAAATCACCTCCTTGTTCTCCTTTCACCAATGTAATGAGAAAGCGGAACAACCTCCTGCAACGGCGTGGACAACGGCGTCGGCATAGGCGAATTCCGACACACCGGACAAGAACCATTAAGCTTCAACCACGAATCAAGGCAACACAGATGAAAATAGTGTCGACATTCCGGCATCATCCTCAGCATCTCCGAATCCTTATACTCACACAAACAGATCGAGCAAGTACTCTCACGTCCCATCATCATCTCTTTCCCATACTGCAGCCTCGGGTAAGAGTTGATCACGCTCTGGTCCAATCCCAAAACGGCGTCGTCCCGATCATTATCATCATCTTCCGCAACAAAAATCACACGCGGGAGAACAATACCGTCTGAGTTTCGTTGACCGCTGTTGTTGTTACTGTTGTTGTTGTTGCGACGGTTACGGAAAGTGCGGCAACAGAGGTAGGAAGAGAGGATGAGAGTTGAGAGGAGGAAGAGGAAGCCGAGAGCTATGGCGATGGAGTAACCGAAGCCGAGGTTGGAGAGGTAAGGTAGCGGCGGCGGAGGTGGTGGTGGTGGTGGAGGGTAACTGTAAGGGTTTGAGGAAGACATGGAAGTGATGATGGTGGTGATGACTTGAAGGATGAAAAGGGGAATATTCCATTTGAGAGAGGGTATTGTTGTGAAAAAATTTGTGATTTTTGAAGGGTGGGTGAGGGTCTTAGTTGCTGCATTTAATACTAAGAGTAACTCAAAACTTGAACGGCATTCAATGGTTGCGTTGATTTGGTGATATGGTTTTTATGATATTCATTAGTGCTTCCTTGGTTGGTCCCTTTGCAAGTTGGAAGGGTGGGGAAACATAAACTACGGTTAACCAATAATATGCTTGTGTTAACTTGGAAGTTTTAGGCAATTCATTCTTTGTCAAATAAAACAAAGAAAAAGCTACTATCTCTCCTAATAACATAAGTTAATAAACTATTTTAAGAAGTATTTTTTGAATCCGGAATATTTAATGTTTTGAAATTTTAAATATGATTTTATTATATTTAATTATGTTTAAATTTTTTTAATTATAGTATTTTAACATGTATCATTTCTCTGTAATAAATTAGAAATAATTTTTTTTTTTGTATATTTCACTATTAAAATATTTATCTTATATATGAACTACATACATTAATGATTAAATATATCAAAAAAAATAAAATTTACTTATAATTTATTACGGAGGAAATGGTAATTGAAAAATGAATTTTTATTTTATTTTAAATTGGATATCATCTACAAACAATTGCAAAAATTAATCATTTGAGACGAATAGAATTATCATAAATGATAAGGTATCTCTAAAAAAAATTTAACACGATAGCATGTTGTTCAAAGCTGAGTTTGAACCAAGAGCCTTCTATTAAGCGAAAAGAGATTTCTTATCATCTCATCCGAATATTAATGAATAAGGAAAGTTTTTCTAAATCTTCTATTTTAATTATTTTTGTGTATAAAGTGTTTTATTAGCCGTTTGTGTATAAGTTATATTAAAAAAATTCTATTTATAAGTGATAAGTTTATGTTAAAAGTAAAAGAAGTTTTCATTAAGAACGAATTAGTCGGGTTTACTCGAGTTTGATTCTAGATGGAAATAAGATTTGATTAGTGAGTCGTCTCTTTGAACTACAAAACTAAATTAATCAGTTTATTGTATAGATCAGAATAGATTGGTTAAACCCAAAACAAAAAGTGAAATAATTATTTAAAAAAGTGTCCACAATTTTATGAGATATAGGAAATATAACTTCCTTAGTGTATGAAATACTACTAATTTATGAGATTCGTAAGAAGAGAAGGTAAGAAATGAATAAGATTATAAAAGGAAAATGAATTTAATTTTTTTTAATTGTAAAATGACATAAAATGTGCAGTTATTTTTTGTAAGAATGATATTTTAATTGTAAGATGATCGTAATTGATCAGAAGTGATCGTTGATGGTCCACAAACTTGAATTGAACGGTGGTTGAAAGTGAAGTGGAGGAGAGGATATCTGCAAGACACTCCGATGCCAAAGTAAGCTTCAAAGTAAATACAAGTAATTAGAAAATAAATGAATGAGTGAATATCTTACCCTCTCGTGTGAGAGAGTATTTATAGCCCCCAACGATGGGCCAAGAGCTGCATACTGGTCCAGATAGTTAGGTCTACTAACGAAGACTGTCAGAGTTACGTGAATAATATAGTCCAGCATGTAGTTTCCTCCCTAGTCAACTGCTCCGAGATAATAGAGACGTTATGGAACCGTTACCCTCAACAGGCAGGACAGTGGAAGCTTTAGATAACCACTGGCCATGTCCCTTTAGTGGGCACGTGAGGAAATCCCCAATGATTATTGATTTTGACTGTTGTTGGCTGAAGATTTTGATAGTATTATTAGAAGCAAAGTAAATTGGACGTTTCGATCGAAATGAAATAAAACTTCATGTTTCGAAATAGTAGAAGCAGTGTTTCGAATGAGCATATCAAAGCTTGGAGCTTCGAGTGGCAATTATGAGAACATATCTAAAGAAGTCTCGAAATGACAACAAAGCTGTATCTAAGAAGGGCGTTCGAAGCGAAGAAGTACCAAAACATTTGAAATTCAAATGCAAGCGGGATGTTCGAAATTTGAAATATATGCGCTGGAGCATTCGAAGACACGTGGAAGTAAGAGAGAGGCATTGCTCTGCATGTTCTGAACGTGGCAAAATCTCATAACAAGACCGTTATGGTCGAACTAGTATAAATAGAAGTCTTAGCATTAGGATTTCGTGTGTCATATATGTTTGTACAAAAAACTCAGTAAACATTCAAATTACCACATGACTAGGGAAACGAATGCAAGAGCAATGTACGTATGATAGCACCACATGTTTATGATTTAATGAAAACCCTTTATCATTTCCAGTACTTTCCTTTGTCTTTATATCAATACCATTTACAAGTTTTTGCATTTTAAGTCTTTTTATTCTAAATCTTTTCATTGATGCCTTATATTTAAATGCTTTCTTTCCGTTTCAAACACTTTACCTTTCAGAAACTGTTATACATTTCATGCCTTTATCTTCAAGTTTTTATCCTTTGAACACCTTTTTCACTTAAAGTCATTCTACAGATTTCTTGCATTAAACGCTTTCTTCATATTTCGAATCTTTTATATTCCAGAGCATTTTTTACATTAACTGTTTTTAAAATTCGAAGCCATTTACCTGTCTTTTATGCAGTTTTACATGTCTTTACAATTAACATTTATTCATGTAATTTAGTTTCACGCACATATATTTTGATTACACCTTTAGATCTTTAAGAGAGAAATCAAAATAAGTCAAACACCTACACAACATTCTAAATACCAACCATGAATACCTGTTCGATCATGAGAGTTACCCTAATGACCAACACGTCCTAGGATCAATCTAGTCGATCATGCGAGTTACCAGAGAAATTGAATAACAGTCAGTAAGTTTATTCGATAGTTTGGAAGACTAGCGGTTGTTTACCAGAAATCACTGGAAACAAATTGGCACACCCGGTGGGACCCAATCGTTGGACATTAGAAATAAAGATTGTTGAGACATAACCATTATAAAAACGTTGGAACCTAAGAAGTTTGCTGTTTTATGAACCTAAGAAGTGGTAAAATAACCAACAGCAACCAACCCTTATCCAGAAGAAAACGTTTGAACAAGATGTCTAATTCTGACAATCAACAAGGGGAACAAAATGCCCCACATACAACAGGCACTAATGTATCCGCTTCGATGGGAACGTCTAACGTGATCCTTTCGAATGCACAGTTTGTTGCCTCTTCTACCAGTAATATAGCCACTAATGGAGTAAGTGGCATATCAACTAATAGTTCGATCTTAGGAAATACTGGAACCATTGGTTATCCTGGGGGATTCGTTCCACCATCAGGAACACAAACCCATTTCGCCACTCCACTAACTAGACCACCCGGTTTCGATGGTAATAGAACCAGAAATTCCTCTTATGGAATGCCAACATCTTTTATGGCAGGTTTACACAATTCCACATCGAATTCATCACCACAATTAGGGTTTGGGTCTGGGGCGAATCAGTTTATGACAAATAACCAAGGGTCAATGGGTTATAGCACAATGCCTATTTTAACCACAGAAAACCAATTGGCTTTTAGGCAATTGATGGATGACAGCAACCATAATATGATAGGGGTGTTAGCACAAACTATGCAGGAAATATTTGCCCCAATAGTACAAAATGTGACTGTGACAAACAGAGAAAACGCTGACAACATGAGTCGAATAGCAGATTTCTTTGCTCCCCCAGAAAGGCGTAGGCAGAATCAGGCGGGAGTTCAAGCAAACATGCCTGTTATGGAACAAGTTGCTAACGACCTAAACTATAGACCACCTAGAGAAGAAGTTAACTTGGGGGCAAGGGCACAAAGGCTAGAAGCCCCAATGATCCCAGGCCCACAAAGAGAAATTATGGAACCAGGGGCAAGGGTCGAAAGGCTGGAAGTCCCAGAGTTTCGAGAAGAATAACCTAGGGGGGTTGTCATGGTGGGTCGAAATCAAGATGCTGATGCAGTCGTTCATAGAATTCGAAACGATAACATCTTGGCAGAAAACAATTTAACCACCATGATAGAGAGAGTCATGGCCCAGAATGGCCTCAACACAAGAATGAGAAGGCCAAATTATGCTTCCCCTATAATAGATTGCATAATGCATACTGATTTGCCAAGGGGATATAAAGTTCCTAAGTTTACAAAGTTCGCTGGGGATACCAATGAGTCAACAGTCGAACATATAGCCAGATACCTAACCGAAGCGGGAGATATAGCCAATAATGAAGATCTTAGGATCAAATATTTCCCAAGTTCCTTGACTAAAAACGCCTTCACGTGGTTTACCACTTTGCCTCCTGGGTCCATTGATACTTGGGCTCTTTTGGAGAGATTATTCCATGAACAGTTTTACATGGGACAGTCAAAGATAAGTTTGAAGGAATTAGCCAGTGTCAAGAGAAAGTTCACAGAACCCATAGATGATTATCTGAATAGATTTAGGCTTTTGAAATCCAGATGTTACACAGTGGTGCCTGAACATGAGTTAGTCGAAATGGCCGCTGGTGGCCTGGATTACTCTATTCGAAAGAAACTAGACACTCAATACCTAAGGGACATGGCTCAGTTAGCCGACAGGGTTCGACAGGTCGAAAGGCTAAAGGCCGAAAAGGCCAGAGTTTTTAAAAATAATAAGAAGGAAAGGATCTCCTATGTTGGAACTGAAGAAGCAGAAGATTATCCTGAATTCGAATTCGAAGAGGTCGAAATCGACCTCGCTGAATTAAAACAGGCACCACCTTACTCCTGCAAGTTATTAGTTCCCACAAAAAGGAAAGAGATTGTTGAAAATGAGAAAAGTAACAAATTCCCAAAGAAGGTTTATACCTTTGATGTCACTAAATGTGACGAGATTTTTGATTTACTTGTCAAAGATGGCCAACTCATTGTGCCATCAAATGTCAAAATACCTCCTTTAGATCAAAGAAAGAAGAGAGGATTTTGCAAATATCATAGTTTCCTAGG